TTGTTTTTTTCTTTAACATTAAATATATTGTAAGGAGACTCTTTGCCAATAAGAAGAGCTCTTACTTGAGTTGCTGACTTTGTTCCTTTATCGCAGCTTGTGAATTTCATTGTCCATTCCTTTAAATAATTATAAGCAAGATTAAATTTATATAGAAATCGCAAAGACATTCTACGTGATATTTCAATTTGATATGCTAAATTATTAACATCAAAAATTGTTTGATAGCAAGTAGACATTAATGCAAAAAAAGTATCCAATTGTTTTTTTATTGCATCTGATTGTTCTAAAGAATTATTCTTTAAAAAAGAACTAACTCTAAGCTCTTGAGGGATTTGAGGTTTATACTTCAAGAGCATAAGTTGATTTAAAAGGTCCTGATTATATTCTGAGTTTAAATTCTGATTGTTTTCTATATTTAATATTAATGCTCCACTTATTTGTGTCATATCAAATTGAATGATTGAAGATCTATGAAGAATAGTAAGTTCTTTTAAATATTCAAGAATGCTTTTATATAATTATTCTTTTTTATATTAGAGTATGATTCATAAAACGAAGCAATAACTGATAATTCTAATTCAAACACTAAGAATTCATGATATAGTTTGGAAATTTTTAATTTATTTTCAGTTAATATATCATGTTTTTTTGAATTTTCAAAGTTAACAAAATAACCAAGAACTGGATATAGATCTTAGTTAATTTGCTATTTTTCAGACACTTTTTCAAATTTAGGAAATTCTATTTTCATAATAGATTTCCTAATTTCTATTAGATTAATTGGTTCTAATATAATTTTACCTTGATTGTTCTTGATAATTGCAGTTTTTTTACTTGAATTGATTTCAATTTTATCGATGCTTGTATTATATGCAATAGATATTAAAATAATACTTTGATTTATGATATCCGGATATATATATTTAGATCTGGATAATCTTTTTGATACTCTTATATCTAAAATTAATTAAAATTAAAGTTAATATATTAATTAATTAATTAATTAATTTTTTAATTATAATTTACATAGTCATTTAATATCTCTATTATCTTCTTTATCATCTTCCTTATCATCATCATCATCATCATTTTTTTCTTCACTATCTTCATCATTTGCTTTATCAGCTTCTTTATAATCTTTAATTTCTTCACTATCTTTATTATCTTCATTATTTTCTTCTTCGCTACCTTCAACTCTTTTTTTACCTTCTTTATTACTTTCTTCATTATCATTTGATTTATTACCTAAAATAAATAAATTAAATTATTTAATAAATATATTAAAAATTAATTATTAAAATTATATACTTATGAGAAAAAGAATAGAGTTCTTTATATTTTACTTTCAAGACTTCATCATCATGACTTGGATTTTTGTTTACTTTAATTATTGTATCTATCAAAATCTTTAATTTATTTTTAAATTGGTCTATATTGTTTAATTCTTAGAATGCAAAACTTTTCTTTAAGTTATCACAATATATGATTTCAACTGCATTATCAATAAATCGAACTTCATGAATATAGCAGTCAGTATTGTAAGAATGCAATAGGTATGCAATTCATATTAAGTCATCCATGATTTCTATTTTTTTTTGTTAAAAAA